CCAGCAGGTCGTGCGACACGTCCGGCGGGAATTGGGGGGGGGGGGGGGGATGTGTGCAGGGTCGAGAGGAGGAGGAGGAGGAGGAAATAATGAAAAGAAGGGGGAGGGGGGCTGGATGCGCACCAGCCTCGGGGGCGGCCGCAAGATGCCGGCCGAAGTGTGCCCCCGGCATCCGCCCTCCCGCCGGTGCAATTAAAAAAAAAACAACAACAAACAGCCTGGACATCCTCTCGACCGCCCATGGGCCAGGGAGGCGCGGAGCAGAAGGTGTGGCTGGGATCTGCCCCCAGGCCGGAGTGCGGGCGTGTGCACTCGCCGCCGGGCGCGGGCCAGCCGGGCCGGCGGCAGAGATCGCTAGCGGAGACTCTGGCGCGCGCGCGCGAGTGTGCCCCGCGGCGCCAAAACAAGGCCCAGACCAGGGTGGGCCAAACACACCAGGTCGCCCGGCCTCCCCCGGGCCGGCCCCGCACTGGCTGGCGCGTGGAGGGGGGGGGGGGGGGGGGGGGGGGGGGGGGGGGGGGGGAGAAACGAGGCGGGCGGGGGCTGGGAGGAGCGGTGCGGGGGGAGGGGCTGCCCCACCAGCGGGGACGCAGGGGCGCGCACGGCGGCGCAACAAGGCGGGGATGCGGTCCGTCCAGCCGCAGCGCGGGGGCTCGAGAGGACGACCCGCGTGAGATGGCCCAAGTAGCGCGCGGCGGCCGCGGCCAAGCCGTGAGCTGTGTCGAGGCGTGGCGATGGGGGCTGCGAGGGCGGCGGATCGCGCACCCGGGCCGGGATCCCACCCCCGAAGGCTGGAGGGGGAGCCGTGGGGATGCCGGCGTGACCCATGCTTGGATGCTGCGTCGGTGGGCCCGAATGTGCCGTGCGCGCAGTCACACCAGCCAGGGAATGTGTCACAACAGCCTCGCGCAGGCTGGCTGGCTGGGGGGGGGGGGGGGGGCCGTGCGCGCCGTGCACACGGGCCGAGCGCGATGTGCGCACGCACGGGCGTCGTGCGGGGCGCACCCGGCGCCAGGGCCCGGGGCGGGGCGGAGCGCCGCAGATCCAAATCACATGTGGTCACGCGGCGCGTTCTGGTCAGAATCGACGCCGGACAGTCTCCTGCTCACGCACCCAGCAGGGGGCCGGAGCGGGAGACGGCGGGCCCCGATGCAAGAAAAAGGCCGCCCCCGAACACAGCCACATCGCCGCCTCGCCGGGTGTTGCAGGCCCGAGGTGCAAGTGGCTTCCCCGTTCGGGCACCACCGGAGGCGAGGGGGGGGGGGCCGGGCGTACTGCCCCCCCCCCACGGCCACCACCGCCGGGCAAGAGATCCCCGTCGTTTGAACTGGCGCGCGAGCGCCTTCAAACGCGACTTCCCGCTGGCACCCACCGGGAAGGGTGCCTCCGATGGCGGTGGGCATATGTGAGCCGGGTGCATGTCCCTGCCGATGCCGCGAGGCGCGCATGTATCCCTCCCCCTCCTTGCCCCCCCCCCCCTCCCGGTCGCCGCTTCCACCGCCTGTCTTCTTGCCGCCC